ATTGAGTACACAAACCCCAAGGGCCAAAAATGCCAATAGCACAAACTAAGCGTGTCCGTAATAGTCGAAACATGTGCAATTTTATAGGAGGTGTGTTTTTCACAAGTGTTGCATGTTGTGTGAGCCAAGGGACAATAACAATGTTCTGTTGCATAAAACAAACACACTGTTCTGGTTTTTGGCGAAAAACATGCCAACTCTGTGTAATTCACATGTAGTCATGTGGTACACACAAATTGAAACATACTTGGTTCCGTGTTCTGGTTGCAAGTACAAGTTCGAACACAGTTCTGTGGCACAATCTGGCTTCGACTATCCAAACCCCTGGATCTTATTCGGGTTAGATTTTGGTTCTAACCCTAACACTTCTTGTCTACTATAGACCCTAACGTGGCCCCTGGTGTTCGAGTACAGGGCACGTAAACTTTTCACATATTTTATGGGAACACCTTTCCGCGCAGGTACTCTGAACAGAACAGGTTGATCAACTGAGTCAAACGCAACCTTGAAGCCAAGGAACACAGTTATTGCAGGTCTGTTGTGCATGTGCCACTGCTCTAGAACGTGCCGCAGGGGGAATATGTGGTATTCACAGTCCTGTTCTGTGGGGATCCTGTCTTCCTACATCCTAGATTCCCTTTACCTAGTAAGTTGGGGGAAGAGAATTTAAGTCAGTATGAAATCCTGATGCACTGCCTGACGTGGCAAGCGCAGGGGATATTTTCTTGTAAAACCTTACACTGTCCCTGTAACTTTGGTATAGAGTTTTTAAGATAGTAAGAAATTTGTTCGGTGTCTCTCTGCTGTGACCTCATGGTCCCGAAAAGCTTCGCACCCGACACCTTTTCCCGTCCTTCAGTTTTGCTATTCACGTTGCCTCGGATCACTTACACGATGCGTTATCGGTGACAACGTTATCAGTTGGCAACTATCGATGACAATGGTACCAGTTCACCCTAGTTTCTGTCCTACCAAGAAACACTGTCACCAGCTCGCCGGTTGCATGATCTCCCTACTGATAATGTAATCGGGTGGTAATTACGTCACTCTGATCACCACTTTCGTTCCATTACCGAGTGGGAACTACGCCGCTCTCCCGTGTTTGATCTTTGATTAAGCATTGGAAGCGTGGAAAGTTGTTCCCATGAAATATGTGAACATTTTATGTGCTCTATACTCGAACACGACAGGTCGCGTCAAGCTCTACGGTGTCTTATCGATTCCTGACAACAAGTGGCGTTCGTCAAGGTTGCCCAATTTCCTCCTTTTTGTTCAACTTTGTCATGGACTCCACCATGGAGTGTTCCCGTGCGGAATCTCACAATGCAGGCGTTGTACTGCATGATGAAAAGCTAGATGATCTCGATTATGCGGACGATATTGTTTTGTTCTTTAACGATGGGACGGTGTGATCAACCCCGAATAACCTCTCTTTAGTGGTCCCGTCATCTGGCATACATTTCACACCAAAGTGCAAATTGCCGCTGCAAGCCATTTGATGACCCCTTGATCGTTGATTGCTAGGAACTCGATGGAGTTGCTCGATTCACTTACCTTGGCAGTTCAGGTATTGCAAAAGCTAGAATTGCTTCCCTGAATCTGCGACATTTTGGTGTCAGAAAGGAGTCCTATCGCACTGAAACACCATGTTTACAAGGCCACAGTGAGATCCGTCCTACTCTATGGGAGTGAGACTTGGCCTCTTCAGGCTGAGGCACATACAAGTCTTTGATCATCGCTACATGCTTAGCATTGCTGGTGTCGGGTGGCAGCACCGTGTCCGCAAAGATGATATGCGTAGGCGAGTGCTAGGCAGTGATGATCATGCCATCCCTGTAGAACAACAGATACCACTGAATAGGTTGCGATGGCATGTGCACATGTTACGTATGCCCGGTCACCACTTACTGAGGAGGCAATATTTTGTCTGTCAGATGTAGAGTGGCGCAAGGCTCGAGTGGACAGCATTTGACTTGGCAGCGGAAATGAGGTAACTAGCGACCAAAGTCGGTGCCGTCGGTTCGTTTCAGCTTCCAGACCAGATTCCACGTGACTCGCTTTGTGTTTGGGTCGGGACGCTACTGGACACGGCTCGCCGTCGATACCAGAGGCGCGTCTGCTGCCGTCTCCTAGTTGGACTCCCTGTTCAAAGTGTGCTTGGGGCCGAGTTATTTACGGGGTAATGGTTATGACGCTGTCTCGCTGATGCCGCTTATATTGCACTATAGCCAGCTGTTTGTGACGATGTGTTGTTGACTATGGTAGACGCCTTGACCCTGAATGTTTGCTTAGGGTATTAAAGTTTTCTGATAAGTCCCCCTTCTCTCCCTCCTATTATCCTTCTTTTCGTAGATCGTTGTGGTTGTATGGCAGCGATACATCAGTTCAAGTGGCTGATATACTGCGGGTGATGCTGATGAGTAAAAGCGCTTTGCTTCCTTCTGGGGCTCGCGAGTATTTATGCGGTGTCCCTGTTACTTCCGATACGGAGAGGAAGAACCTTTGGCCAACTAAGTCACTCAGGGCGCGTCGATTTGAATTTGTTTAGCCACTTGTCCACGCTGGACACAGTCCACAAGAGCCGAATTGTTGTTCCGACTAAGGGTGCTGTATTCAAACAAAAGCATTGCAACATTCAAAGTTCTTTCTCCCCAGAAAATGACGCGCTTAACAGAATTGGCGTCCACCTTCAAATTGAGAAACACCATCATGGCAATTTGTTTACATGTATAATAACTTAAATGACTACCGAAAGGTAACAATGCGATCAAATCTCCTTCGGCCAGAGCGGAAGCTAACTTAGTTTTCCTTGTTTCGTCTTCCTCGAGGACCATTGAAACACCACAGTGATGCACGTGGGCAGTTTGGAGGAACTTGTAATAAATCTCATGCCATGCTATGCTTTGTACAGATTAGAATGATAGTCACCTGTCGAAGAGCACTTTTTCCTTTGCACAAGACATTGCCTGCCGGAGCGGTCAACGCAGTCGCTAGTGCTACCTCACTGTCCTTCGGCAATGATGCAGAACGTTTTTTACACCTACGCCTTGTTCCAATCCACCGTCACCAGCTTGAGCCGGACCTCGTTGGTGATGGGAACTATTACGTCGTCTCCTTAGGCTGGTCCAGGTGACGCAACTGGCAATTCTAATGCACCGGGCCGGTTGAATTTCTGTTCAAACTGCTCGGTTCAATATTCTAGCTGGTGTGACTGAGGGTGAGTCAGTTGTTCATCATTCTCAGCCACTCGCGGGAACTTTTCTTGCGTCAGTCGGATTGCTAAGTTGGGGTTAAAATTAGTATTTCTAATTGTGCATACGTTTTTCATCTTACGGGCCCTCGCCATCCACCAAGGTTCTCGGTCGCTTCTCAGACTCTCACTAAGACGGCACTTTAGCGTATTGCGAATAGCTTTAAAGTGACATCTTACCAGAGACATCTTTCCTGTTCCGACTGGTCTGATTAGTGTCATAAAGCGCGAACGATATTTGCCACTTTAGAATTGCCTCGCACCTGTTATCGCCGAATGCTGTACACTTCACTTTACACTTTGCATCCTCATGATGGAACACATGATGAGGGGATTTCAATGGACTTTCGTCTGATTCACCACGTTCTTCAACGGTTTTCAACTTTCCTACTTGGTTTGGCATTGTTCCTCCGCAATCTGAGGATTCGTCTACCAAGTAAGAAGCTCTATGTCTGTACAGGGCTGATTTAGGGATAGCGGGTGGCATACGAGCGTGCACTATGGCATTGTGGAGTCTTCAAAACTGAGGTCATTTGCCACTTGTCCCCTATATCCTCAATCGACCACTCTCAACGGCAGAGACGTTTACATTTCGCGGTGTTTTTATCGCCTCGGCCAACTCGTTGAGGATAGATCAACGCGTATACCAAGTGGCTCCTTATGGGTTTTTCAGTCCCACATTCTTCCTCGCAGACCGTATGCTCTTACTTCGGCAGTCCCAGGCGGCGTGTACACTACTGCAGTGCGGCTAACACTGCGCCCTGACTATATGACATGGCCAGTGCGTTTTGAAGAAACAAATGGGTTGGTTGTGTCTGCTTACGGGCGTTTTCGGATACCGTGTTTCTCGGCCGGTGTTCGCAAGGGTTACGCGCTTGCGTTGTAATCCGGAGGTCACCGGTTCAAATCCGCGTAGGTGCGAGAGACCTCGAGATATACTCAGCCCAAGCGCGACTGGTGGTGATTGCGTGGTAGCGAGGTTTTGGTACAGCATGCCGACGTACTGCTAATGCGTGTTTTTGTCTGATTCGAGCACGGAATGAGTAACAATAAAATACATTGACTCCTTTTCCGTATCAATTCCTCACCGCACGGCCTTGTATATCAGGTCACTTCCTTTGCGTCTCAGTCGCTCTTTTTGATGGGTTATCCTTTCAGAAATTGCTATAGATTGAGTAAGGCTTTAATGGCGTTTTGATAACATAGTGAGAAGGTATGATGACTTTGACAGGACACTTGATCAAGTCTTCCCGGTCAGTTTCTGAGTGGGGAGCTTCCGAATAAATCACAGCGCTTAGAAGTCCTATTCAATATAGCTCAATCAAGAATTCACAGATATCCTTACATGTATTGTCTTGTACCTAACTTGTTTTCTCTTTGATCACTTCCGTTTTATCTCTTTTGCACATTTCTTCCCATTCACTTACACATTTTTCCACCACTTCTACTTTTCCAATCATGCTAACCCTATTTACACGATTCATTCAGGCTGGATCTCCGACATAAGTTACTCGGCCGCATGGACCTAGCTTTTTCGTATCCCATAGGTGTTCCCAGCGTTAGTAGTATTTTCCCAACCTTTCCAAATACCGATCCACTACCAAGTGTTTCAGTGGGCGAGCATATGTTCCGTGGAACCCGTCTTCTTTCAATCCCTTCCCCAGGCAACTATCCAGTGACGTCATGCTGTTGATCACTGTCCGAATTTATGCCTCATACGCTACGGCGCTGTTTATTTTTTTCCGAACAGGCTCAAAGTTTTACGAAAACGAACTGCGCCGCGAGCGTACGTTACGGCAGCAGTTGGAGCAGAAAATGGCCCAGCTCAAATCTGCCACGCCGGCGATGATCAAGGCGGGGGAAAAAGAAGTACGTTCCATTTCCTTTCAGCACCCAGTAATGCATTGTCGCAGTGAGGGGCACCGTTCGACAGCGCGTCCGAACTTCCTAAACCAGCATGCCTCTTAGTCTATTAAATTGCATTACGCTACGTGTTGATAATCTATCGTAATTCCGCAGCAGTGCTGTTTGGCTCGGATAGTTGCGATCCACTCTTTGTGCACTGGTGAATCCAGGGGGTTTATCCGACACTTGGTTACAGTTTCTTGTCCTGCACGCTCGATGCGTTTAAATGAAGTATCAATTTTCCGAGAACATTGTCTCTCAGGAGGCGGCCTCTGGATACTATGATTTTCTTTCTCAAATTATTCAAAAGCCTATCTGGCGTTTAGATGCAGCGTCTTGCGAGGCTGTCGAATCGTGACCACTAAATATCGTAGTTGCTCGGTGTTCATGCATGGTAAATTCACTTGTTAGTCTCGACCAACTTGACTCCGCTGGATCTACGCTGAATGGGTTCACTGAACGAAACGCAATGGTAATGCAACACTGAGGCGCCCGAGAGCACTTTGATATGCAGTCGGACCACGCACTGTTTTTTTTCCGTTTGACGGTTTTCACAGCAGGGTCCCAGGCCTACTTACATGATTTACTAACTGTGGCTTGGAGCTTATCGGTAATGTGGTTTGAAGCATCTCGTCATCACCTCTACTTTTGCATTACTTTGAAGATATGTTACTCACACCTGCTGCGGTCCTCGTTATGTGACCACTGCATTACCCAATGAGTTGCCTGCTGCTCTACCGAATAACCTACACAGAACCATATTGCATCCATAGCTCGAATTCAGGTACAACAACGTTCTTCTCTTGTTCCACCAATCTCGCCAAAATCTTGTAGTCCCACTCTGAGCTGCTGTGAGGCTCCTCTGCTTGTTAGCTTACCTAATGATCTTGTGTTCACTGAGTTCGCTGCATCGACCGAACTTTCGCCCAGTTACCTATGCGTAGGGTGTGCTATTACTCGCATGCGAACTGTTGTTTTGCCACCACTGATTCAACCTAACCGTCCCTGCTCTATGTCACGCTAGCGGTTGGCTGTGTTCCCTGCTCCTCGTTCGGTTTGTCCTTGCATAGCTATTTAACCTGAGTAGGACCTTAGCAGATAGTCATACCATAGGAATAGCGGCTGTCTATTTACCTTTCCTGGGGTTTTTGTGAATTGCTCCTGCTTTCTTAAACTGAATCGCAGTTACCACGGCTATTCGACTTTGGAAAAGCACAATTACACCTTTTCACAGTTAATTGCCTCCATAACGCTTTCAAAGTTTGCGTTAAGGAAATAGGTTTCGGCCATACATCTTTCAGAACTCGCCTTAACGCAATCAAATATCATCCACCTGGCGCGAACGCACCAAAACGCCCCACTCGTTGGGTGACCAATCCCAACTCAACCAATGGCATATCAGACTAGTTTACGACATGAGTTACCAGAGATGTTTGGGGGTGGCGCAGATCGCGTGCGATTTGGTGGGTGCCCAGTCGCGCTCGAGACTCGTATTCAGGCTTGATTGGCTACACTGAAACTACACACATGCTAGGGGGTATACTCGTAAAACTCTCATCGTGCCATCTGGGCTTAGCAGTCACGAGTGATCATGGTGTTTGGCACTTAAGCTTTCAAGCATTTCCACTTAGACGTGAAATATGATTGGGCGGTGTATCCACCCATTTCAGCGCTAAGCTGTCCGAGGCACCCACGTGAATGAGTGCGAAGGAAGTGACCCTTGGGAATAATGACATGAAGTCGCTCACACATACCATTGTCAATCATCGGCTGGCACGGAAGTAGAGCTAGTGACACCCGAGGGACGTGGAGAGTGTGTAAACCGCGGTGTGTTTCGGGGTGTCACATGCTCACTGAGCGCAATATTGAAAGGTCCGCGTTTGATGGATGTAGCGATTCGAATCAGGATGAGTGTGCGCGCAGTGCACATCGGCATCCTCACCGAGGTTTCGCTCGCCTATTGCCTTTGTTATGTCGTTGTTCGATTGAGCTTGCTCCTGGGGAATATTTCATATCCTTGCGTCATGGTTCCCATTGTGGTTGTTAAGACATGTAAGTGCCTGAGTGGTTCCTCCAACCGTTCTCACACATGAGTTGGACTGTTGCGAAACAGATCGAATGTGGTGTTTTACCAGGGGCGACACACAGGAACAGAAAAAAGAATTCCGCAACACTCGGGGCGGTTATACTATTCTACCAGTTTCAAGGAATGATCTCAGTTAGGTGTTATTGTTAAACTGCAGTAAATAGCGGCGCACATGATTTGCTTAACTCAGAACAATCTAAGCCTTAGCAGATTATCAGCTAATCGATAATGCCCGTGTTGTCGCCTCTTATCATATGGCAAATTACGCGTTCCAATGGCGCACTTGCAAACCCCGACGTTGAGTATGCTCCAGATCAGTGACATCGTGCTTCAGTTTTGGTTGCCATTTTTGTTTGCTCAGATCAACCCGTCATCCCGAAACAGTGACGTAGGTCACGTTCGACTATTGAGAACTTTAGGGGTCTACCTTTCGAACCTATAGATGTAGAAGATGTGGTTTCGTATGAAGAGTATCTCACACGCGTATAGTCACTCTACGTATGAGAACTGAATCCTTCAGATGCGCAGCTGTCGAACAATTGAGAACTTTTTGCGAAATAAGCGTTGTTCTCCTCAATAACTTGTAGTATGTCAGAAAAGTGGAAAGTGATCTCGTAAGCGTAGGCAAGTCTCAGACTGATACTACATACCCGTCACTTCCCAATAGACCGAAGTTCCTGTCCTTCAGACGTCCAATGGGCGATGGTAGATTAATGGTGGATGTTTGTGAGTAGCGTAAAGTTCGAAGAAAGTAGAAGCCACGATTAAAATTCACGCACAATAATATGCCTCGACGGGGAGTCGAACCCCGGTCCACGAATTTCCGTGAATTTTAATCGTGGCTTCTACTTTCTTCGAACTTTACACTACTCACAAGCATCCACCATTAATCTACCATCGCCCATTGGACGTCTGAAGGACAGGAACTTCGGTCTATTGGAAAGTGACGGGTGAGTGAGCCAATCTGAAACATCAGGACAGGTACTGTGAGCTTATTGGCAACACGTCGCGCACCAAGCAGAAGACATGTGTTAAAATTTGCGCACCTAATCGTCAGCCCTCGGTAGCTCAGGTGGTAGAGCAGCGGACCGGAAATTCGTGGACCGGGTG